GCGGTCTGCCGTTGTTGAAGAAAAAAATTTCGCCCCTCATTTTTAGAAAGAAAAAAAAATGCGTTGAAGCGTGGAATATCATGTTTTCAATAATAGCATGATAACATGATCCTGATCAGGGATACATCCTTAGTTCGGCACATGTCAACCTCTGCGTATCACAGCCCTCCCTCTGGGCCCGATACTGTTCCTTCCTTCCAGACATTTGATTACATAGGATGGAATCTCGTCTCCAGCTGATTGTTGCTTCTTAATAATACACGTATCAGTCAGGCACGGTTTCTCTGGCAACCAGCTAGAAGAATCTAGTGCAACCCGCCGGTCTCGTTATCAAGTCAAAACCTGGGGAGAGCGGATGTTTACTTATGAAGGGGTTAGTTCAGTGTATTTAATATGAAAACACATGCTGTATATTTATTTTACATGTGGCCTGCTAGGCTAAGTTTTCATTTTTACAGGATATATCAACATTTCATATTTTTAATAACTCAGCTGAAAATGAAAGTATTTCTTGGTTCAAAGTTCTCAAGAACAGGTTGAAATACTTGCGTCATTGCGCCATTGTTGGCGCTGTGCTGATACAAGTGAGGCTTATATATAAAGGATATTATATAAATGTTCATGAGTGCTCCGGTATTTCCCGAGCGAATGCGAGCAAAATACCGGAATTTAGGCACGAGCTACATAAGCATAGTATGACATGAACACGAAAATAATGTTCTATTAATGGACCCGTGAAGATCCGGGGTAGAATAGGCCTTCAGCAACCCATGCTTGTCGTAAAAGGCGACTAACAGGGTCGGGTGGTCAGGCTCGCTGACTTGGTTGATGCATGTCATCGTATCCAAATTGCGCGGATCGATGCTCATGATATTAATCACTGGATTGTCTTGTCCAGACTCGATTATTTACAGACCGCCGTCATATAGCTGGAATATTGCTGAGTGCGGCGTAAAACAACAAACGAACCAACTATTACCGAAGAATATGTCGACATACAGAGAGTATAAGGAAGGCAAGTCGCACCAGCAGCGGAACCACAATTTGACGAATGACGTCAACAACCTTCAGCTATGACGTCGTTTCTAGTGTGACGTCATTCAAATCTAACGTCACAATAAGATTCGAATGACGTCAACATTGCCGCCCGGATGACGGAAACAATTCACTGTTGTCTCCTGACGTCATATGACTCTGGGGCACATGATTTTTATGAACCCCGATATGTTTGTGATCGTAGGTTATATAATAAGATTATTACTGACAAATGTGATATGATTACAATAACTAAGAAATCCCCCACAATAAATCGTATATAGTATATTAGTTAGTCTTCAGATAGGACGATATTCAGTTCTTTTCTGAGAATGAAAAATTATATGTATTTCACATATGAAATAACTGTAAAATAAGACCTCTTTGAATGGTATGCGCATGTAATCAGCACGTGACAGCTCTTTTAGAGTATGTAGGATCAACACATCCGTTGTCAGTATTTCACCTTAATGTGTTCGAAAAGCTCCAGCCCAATTTCATCACATTGAAACCTACGAGCACGGGTATGGCGCTGACAAGAATAATAAATAGACAACGCATTTTAAAAAGTGGTCAAATGTCAAATTTGGGATTACACTTTCTCAGTAAAATACAATTTCTAGTACTTTTCTTAAGTGGAGTCCCATCCAGGATTCGAACCCAAACTCTTAGGGTAATCGCCAGCTGAGACCGAACCCACTCAGCCATGGAAGGCTAACCTACAGCTGGTAATCTAGATCACGTTCTTTGTGTACCCCTCTGATAAGTGTAAAGTGGCACTTTCCCATTGTTGTGGAAGCTTCGGTGGCCGAGTGGGTGTGGTCTAAGTGCAGGCGATTAGGTGCCTCATCCGGGATGTATATATATTATTTCTGTTAAGTACAGAATAAGTCTTTAAAATTGGCTGTCATGTTAATTGTTATAGGTACTATATGCGACGGGATTTGGCGTAACGCGGTCGACAGTGACATCACATAACATCACTGAGTGCTTTTGTCCGAGGTATTCATCCGTGACCAACTCGTGTTATTCCGGGACAAACCGAACAGCGACTCGTGCCCCTCTCATGGCCGTTTTTGCGACAATTGTCAACTCGTTGCGTAATGGTTCACCCAAGTTCCCCATATATTATGAAAAAATTATATATTTCAGATGCAAGTTAAAGCACATCGGGAGATGCGGAATTATACAGTATGATTGAACACATTTAGCTGTGTCTTGGGTATATTTTTAGATGCAAGATGTAAAATCAAAAATTATTTCTGAGGGATTCTTTGACGAAGAACTTGAAATCATACGCGCATTCTGATTGGTTTGTCGTATTTTCGCACATAACACTCATCGATAGGGTGACGAGTCTTCTTGCAGGTTACGGAAAGGGGCGAGTGGTGACGAATGCGAGGTATTGTGTAGGTAGCGGAATAAGACGAGAGGACCCGAGTGTGTTATGCAGGTAGCGGAATAAGCCGAGTGGACCCGAGAGTGTTACGCAGGTAGCGGAATAAGCCGAGATGACCCGAGTGTGTTATGCAGGTAGCGGAATAAGCCGAGAGGACCCGAGTGTATTATGTAGATAGTCCGCTAATGTGGGTCTGAGTGTATCGGAATTTACATGCAGCCACGATGCAGTCATATCATCCAGTTACAGGATTCAATCAGAGAGAGGTTACATTTATACCATATATGTATACAGTCAACTCCTTATTGGTTTCCAAGGCCATATTAACAGCATTAGAGTACATAAGTAAACATTCCAAACATAAGCAATTTATTATATTTTCTGATTCTCTTTCTTGTCTTCAGGCAATTAAAAATCAGTCTTGTAAACATCCACTTTTAATTGACATTATTGAATTATTAAGTGTTCTTGCTACTGGCCAGTGCGACATCGTTTTTTGTTGGTTACCCAGCCATGTTGGTATTGTTGGGAACACAATGGCCGATACTGCTGCAAAAGCAGCTCTCAACAAATCTGTGACACCACTTCTTTTACCTTATAGTGATTATAAACCTGTCATTGGATCTTACATCAGAGATCTAATGTAGAAGAAGTGGGACGCCCAAGTAGAAAATAAATTACATGAAATTAAACCCACTATTGGTTATACCTACTTGGGTTGTCAGTCCAGATTTGAGGAGGTCATACTACGACGATGTCGTATTGGCCATAGCAGGTATACAAATGAATTTTTATTGAAAGGTGAGGATCCTCCATTTTGTATCCCTTGTGATGAAAGAATCACTGTCAAGCATGTCCTGCTTGACTGTATTGATTTTTCCATCACAAGGGATAAATATTTCAAAGTGTCCTCTATAAAGGATCTTTTTAATCAAATCAGTGCTCATTTAATCATCGGTTTTTTAAAAGAAATAGAATTAATCGATAAATTTTGATAATAATTTGTATAGTATAAAGTAAATGAATTTTAATTTGGTGAAAATGAAATCATAACTTAGATTGTTGGTGGCTGTATCTTCACAGGGGGTTGAAGTATCGTAAAACAATTGTCCCCCTGGGAAGGTACGTAAGTCCAGTATCATTCAACGTATCATTTCCTTTCTCTGTGCTTTTAATCGTAGTATTTTTGTTGATTTTAACTCTTTGGCTAATCTGTCTGATAATCGCCAGTGGCCAGAGGGATGGTGTAAATCCTGCTGGGGTACCATGTAGGTAGCAGAAGTACCGTAAGTCCCCATGGTCCCTAGTATGGTGGCCTAACTTTGGTTGCTGGCGACCTACAGCCCGTTTTTATATTGTATCGTTTGTATTGTATCTGATTATTTTATTGCTCTAAAACTAGTTTTAAATTTATAATCTGTGATATATTGCTGGTTGTTGTACTGTCCTTCGATGACAGCTTTTAATATATAATCTAAATGCCTAACTTGTTCAACCTAGTTCACATCGCTATATGGCTGAAATATTGCCGATGCGATGTAAAATTTAACTCACTCACTCACCTTATTGGTTTCGTGTTCAATTTGAAACTGCAATAAACATTTTCCATATTGAGATGCGGCGATAATTGTAGGATAAGGTGTACAGATTGTCAGTAAAACCATGGTTGCCTGCTAAATAGTTCAGGTGTGAGGTGGAATGGGGTCTTCTTGTACTAGTCCAGGCTAATGTCGATTTATAGTGCTAGCCCGCTGAGATACCATGCCGCAGTTTAACATGAATACCCCACTCAGACACAGCATACTTACTCCGAGCCGACCAGCCCTTATTTTAGCCCTTTAATGCCGAGCGCCAGACAGGGTAACAACAAGTACCATATTTTAACGTTTTTTGATATGACGCGGCCGGGGATCGAACCCCGGACCTTCCACTCTCCGGGTGGACACTCGACCACTAGACCACGGAGGCGGTACAGACAAATCAATGTGTGCAACTAAGCCAACCATCGAACTAGGTACTCGAGATAAGATGAAATATGTATTGCAATAGCTTTCAGTCGTAGGGAGACGTTTTTCAATGGTTTCAATGCAAATTGAGTGGCAGGTGCTACAGGTAGAGCAGGACATGCTTACACTATCTGCGAACACCTGGTGTCATCACTGGTGTCAATCAGTGAATCGTTCATATAGTTTCTACCGCTATTCTGCCTTTTGCGCCCAATGGAATCTGTTTGGGTGGAGAATCGTGACTGATTCTGACGTTATATATTTTATTGTAAGCGTTATATAATACACGTCTGTTCAAAGAGGCAATAAACCCAACTCGCTCACACATAAAGTATGCCACAACATAAACTACAGTAAAGTACGGTTATAACGAACTCAAAGGGACTACTAATTTTAGTTCGTTATAACCGTAGTTCGTTATAAGCATATATACAGCATAACTACAGCAAATAGTCTGGACCAAAAAAGTAAGTTCGTTATATCCGTCAGTTCGTTATAAGCGAGTTCGTTATAACCGTACTTTACTGTTATTGTACATATTCTCTTTCCTTTTTTCGCAGGCTCGGTTGTAGCATACGACTGCGCTAATGACGGCCATGGCAGGGCGGACAAGTGTATTGAAAGAGTCGACACTAGAATATGCGTCTGCTCCAAGAATCTGTGTAATGCGCCGGAAGGGCTGAACGCGGATGAAGAGGACTATTTCGAAACCAAGACACTACCACCACCATACATAAAAGAAATAGTTCCACAAAAATCCCATGAAAACTCCTGCTCTCATGTATTTGTTTCGTTTCATCTTTTAGCATCCTCAGCATTGGTTACACTGTTCGCACATTCTATGTTTTTATCTGCTCCTTGTAACGTAGTGGTCTGAGTGGTTATTGAATTGGTAGCATGTTAACACACCAAGGGTAATACCTTGTGTCCAATGAATGCTTTAGGATGCTCACTATTCATATCAACTGTTTCTGTATGCTGAGACTGTAATAGAATAACAACAGTGTATATTCTCTTATATATCAGCGGCCATAATGTTCAGTGGGTGTAAATATAGAAATAATCATTGAAGGTCGGGAAATATTAGACTACGAATCAAGCATATGATGCTATTTTCACATATTACATAAAAACAGTAGGTAAATATACTCTCATTTCCCATGGAGTGAGTGAGTGTGGTTTTACGCCGCTTTCAGCAATGTTAGAGTCATATCACAGCGGGAAAACCATAAAATAGGCTTCACTGTGTACCCATGTGGGGAATCGAACCCGGGTCTTCGGCGTGACGAGCGAACGCTTTAACCACAGGGTTACCCTACTGCCCAAGGAACCACTGATTAGTATTCCGTTTAAAAAAACCCACCTGCCTCCCATCCCACCCAGTGATATTAGTCCATAGACTTGAATGATGTTTCTCCCACGCAGTTTTTCTCATTACGCAGAAAACGCAATCCTTCTTCTTAGCAATCATGGCGACAAATACAGGAAGGATAACTCTTCTGTTTAAGACTAACAATCGTATATTCATAATGATATGAAAACCGGACTTTAAACATTAGTGATCTCCCAGAAATAAAATCTTGCACACGGCTTGCTATAAAAAAAACCCCGCACGATGATATTTTTTTCTATGTATTTCATGGCCTACAATCCACTATGACAGTCTTAGTGTTTTGTGAAAAAAACGATGCATGTCATCGTCTCGAGATTGCGTATATTGAGGCTCGTGATATAATTAGTCAGACTCCATTATTTACAGACCGCCGTCATACAGCTTGAATATTGTTGAGTGCGGCGTTAAACAACAAACCAAAGCAAAACTTGAAGTTCTGTATTTACGAAACATTGTAACGTACTGTAGACTATAGTTTGTTTTTTGTTGTTTAACGCCGCACTCAGCAATATTCTAGCTATATAATGGCGGTTTGTAAATAATCTTGGCCAGACAATCCAGTGATCCACGCAATTGGAATACGATGACATGCATTAACCAAGTCAGCGAGTCTGACCACCCGATCCCGTCAGTTGCCTGTGGGGCAAGCATGGGTTGCTGAAGACCTATTCTAACTCTAATTGTATGATAAGAATTACAATTGTTATCATTCTTACATTTTCAGCATACGAGGAAACAGTATAACATGTTTGTATATAGCGCATTTTCTACACGGTGCCATGTGTTAGCCCTCAGACTATAAGACGCTAGTGCTGGGTGCTTCATTTATAAGTTGCTAGTCAAGGATAACGGCAGGTGCTTGCTCCAGTACTCGCGGTACATGCGTACGCGTTCACCCATCATATTAAACGTAGTTGGGCACATTTCTTTTCGATTTTATGGTTTACGGGTCGTTACCAACCACTCAGCTTGGACAGCACGAAAAACACGGATAAGGATAAACAGTAAATTTCTTAAAGGAAGGCATCGAGCGACAGCCGAAGGCTAGAAGACGTAGAGTAACACGTGACTTAAAGTAACGGTGGAATTCCCTGCACATGATACCACTGTTTTAACTTCCAGTTCGGACATATGCAACCCACACGCCAAAAATGCCACGATCGTGTGAACCTGATTGGAACGAATGCTCGATAAGTACCTTTCATTCTACGATTCGTACGACCCAGAGCTTATACTTTTCATTTGATCCCTTAACAGTTGGTATCAGTTGCTCTGTCGGGTTTTCTCTCTCTTATTTTTCGAATGTTAGAACCAAATAATAATAGGGAATTAATTTGAATTAATGAGATATATTTGTTTCGTTAAATCGGTCGACCCGTAAACCTTAATTTTGAAAAGGTGTGGCCTTACATGTGAGATCCGTCCTTGTGACCTGTACTACTCACTGAACGAAGGTGTACTTGAACCGCACACATACGTAAGACATCATGTTAACAGTATTAGGTAAGGTCTACTATCAACAAGCTAAACGACATTGCTGGAAGTAAACAGGGAACAGGTTCAACGGGCATACGATGAAGGCATCCTCTACAAACGTGTTCTGTCAACACATCCGAGAAACACATCAAGAGACTTTTAAGACATGACACGTTTGTGGATTACAACGTCTTTATTGCCTGTTGCAAGTTTTAAGGGATACTAGCCCCGTACCATTCACCTGATGAAGGGTAAATTTGGCACTAGCTCTGAAACACTGTTACAAACAATGAAGAAATTGATGTCCACAAATTTGTCAATTATTATATTCTTAAGTGTGAATGACTTGAGTTTTCCGAAGTTGAGAAAAGTGATATGTTTATTGCAGTGAACATAACTCTTGATATTTCACTACTGTGAAAATAACACTTTGACGGATCTAGTGTCATGCAAGAGTCACCTCCCCTCAAATTGTCTCCCCTTATGGTGGGTGTCTAGCCCGTACACAAACTGTTGACTTCCTTTTTAAGTTAGTTCCAGATTGACAAGGCAAAATAATGACAGATGGCCATTAATGGAGTTAATATAGTTTCATGCTGTTTGTTATTCTCTTGAAAATGTTTCGTTATAAACTGTAAATTTCTCATTTAATTCGTCAATCCAGACGTTCGTTTCGCAAACGGTCATTTTTGTTACTTGGCCAGCGTTTATTCTTTCGCTTCAAACAGCGATTTGGTAGTTTTCAAGTATATTCTTTTGTTAAAGTTGATTTTGTATATAATCATATCTATATTATGAATTTTCGTGCCCTTTAATACGTTTTGTTACTTAATAAGATTTTGCAAACACGAAACTACTTTTTAGTCGCAAATACAAGGGGTGGTGAACCGTCCCTGTGTGTCAGGTAGGGAGAATTTACGTTTCAAGGTATACATTTTAAATGAAATAATCAAATTTCCGGTAGACTACTACACAAAAAGTATACAATGAATAGGATATTCCATGTCTGGTGAACCACGTTTCTCCCATCTCATGACCGGGGAATAGGAGACATTTTCCCTCTTGGCTACGCCACTGTGTAAATATCGCCTTTCCCCCCGTCCTCTCTGTCTTCATGTTCATTCAACATCTACGTGTCTATCTTAGTCTTAATAAGAGGCCAGATGATTGTATTTTAAAGGAATTTCCGGAATATCGAGGTTTGGCTGTATATGAGTTTTATTGTTTACTCTTCAGTCCGAGACAGGAATAACGTTCAAGGATACCTTCTTAATCACATGTATATTTGTCATACCCTTGTCAAAAGATTCATTCCTGGCATAAATCAACATTTCGTTTTAACTGCAACTGTTTTGTTTCCATGTCATAGTGCCCTTATTCCAAGTAGTATGTACCGAAAATCTGTTACTATGACAACGTATGTCAATGAATACCAGACTGCAACAAGTACTGTGTTATTGAAACGTACGCTGAAGATTAGTAGCATGCGACAAGTGCTAAGGATTGTTTTTGACATGCATAAAAACACACTCTCATTACAATGAGATATTTTACTCCGGTCCTACATAGACACCACTCCGCGTTAAGATCTGAGATCATCTCCATTGAAGTACCCTTAACGATTATTGACCAATCAGAATGAAGGATGCATGGGTTCTTCAACCAATCAGCCAATCAGATGCAGCTTTATAAAATCGATTTGGCTTCATTTCTTTACCACCGCCATTCGGAAAATTCGATTTTAACAGAAGAAAACCCACACAGGACAAATATATACTTTGGATGGTTCTCCCTTGTGAGTGTGACCGCCTCCGTGGTCTAGTGGTAGAGCGTCCGCCCGCACAGCGGAAGGTCCGGGATTCGGTCCCCGGCCGCGTCATACCAAAAGACGTAAAAAGTTGATACTTGTTGTTACCCTGTCTGGCGCTTGGCATTAAGGGGCTAAAACAAGGATTGGTCGGCTCGGAGTCAGTATACAGTGTCTGAGTGGGGTATTCATGTTAAACTGGGCTGGCACTATAAATCGGCATCAGTCCGGACTAGTACAAGCGGCCACACACACAGGCGTTCATGCACGTCGCTCTATAAGTGCAATAATCTTGGACGCAACGTTAAACCCCATTTCACCTCACCTCACCTTTGTGGGTGTACATGACACGAAACAAGGAAACGACACATACGATGTTTACAGAGTCCACAATATAATACCTTTGCCTCCATAACATCCACGAGCTCCAATGGACGTATCCTCAGATTTCCAAGCAGAGATGCATCGTGTCAGGGTATGTTTATTGACGTCTGATAAACAAGTTTACATCGTCGGTGTAACATATTTTACGTGCGCTTCAATATCTTTCTGTCGGAACATTAGTGCTCTGAGAACGCTTCCTAAATGTCATTGTCTCGTAAATATTTTGTCGTTAAATTGAACGTGAACACAAAATCTTCTGTAATAATGAAATGATTTTGTCATTAAATGGCCAGTTTTATTTATGTGACCAATGCCTTTGATGTATATAATTCTCTCTTTAGAAATAAACAACCAAGTTGTACCAGCATCTAAAGAACACTATTAAAGTTTATTATTTATTTTGTGTGTTTTGGTTATAATTAACATACAGTGGTCATCTGCAGTCATTAGTAGCAGAATAGTAGTAATTCTGTATTAATTGAAAACACCCCAGTACTGTCAAAGTAAAAACATCAGTACCGTTTTAGTCGTTAGAGGCGACTAACGGGATGGGGTGGTAAGTCTCGCTGACTTGGTTGGTGCAGTCATCGTGTCCCAATTGCGTGAATCGATGCTCATGTAATCAATCACTGGATTGTCTGGTCCAGACTCGTCTATTTACAGACAGCCGTCATATAGCTGGAATATTGCAGAGTGCAGCGTGAAACAATAAACAAACAAAACAAACAAACAAGTACTGTCACTGTAGTAACAGACATGCTTATATTAATTTGGCACATTAGGGGTTTGATCAGTGGATCCTAACAATAGCCACAAACAGAACCACGGCTGTGCCATGAAGGGACAACGCACTAAAAAGCATTTATAAGTAATATATCTCCATGATGTTCTTGTTTTTATGAACAAGTATGTTTGGAGGGGAAAACATGTTCAAACTTATACAAAATCGTGAACTTTTCCCTAGCCGCCTGTTACAGCCTTTCAGCACCCAAATCGGCTTCCCGTTTTATGTTCTAAACATTACATTCCTCTGCCACATACAATTATGGATAAGGGGTCATGTGGCACTCTGTCTCCCAGCTGGGGACTGTAGACAAATCTCAGGTCCAAGGCAGCATAACATAATGAAATCTCCTAAATACACAATACTTTCTTCCTTTGTTGGCTTGAGTAAATGTATCACTGTAACAAGTGTTCATATTAAAACAATTGAAATATAACAGAACAGATCTCACTTCTAAATTATGTCTATGTATTATTTACATTATGGTGTATGATGACAAACGATAAAAACAGTTTCTTCAGCAAAATCACTGGCATATAAACAAATGTGTATGAAAAGGAAATTGTGACCCGCCTCAGAGTTAGCAGGCAACATGTGATTGCATTGGTACATATATATATATATGGCTATAGGGGCATGATCTCATGTCAGGTCAAAATCAGGGCCAAATATCACAATAAGTAAAAAATCATACAAATAAGTTTAGAAGCTGAATACAAACTACTTGTGTGCCATATTGCAGTTCACTAGTGGTGAATATGTGTTATTGCTGCATATTGTATATATGGTTGCTAAGGAACATCAGAGGACAACAGATCTATGGGCTACAAATTTGATAATAATGAAACTGCATAATAAGAATATATCCAGTCAAAGTACATATCCTAATCAAATTACTTATATACATTAATCACGAAATAATGTTCCTTGTAACCATGTCAGTTTATAGAATAGTTACATACACTATATACACAATAACAAAAAATGTATTAACAAAACATAAGCAAATACACATGTCATTGAACAGAAGTCAGTGGGTGAATATGTTTTTATCACAATACACAATCTCACAACCGGTTCAAACGTTTTCCAGGAAACAAGAAATACTTCTCAGTTAATCCCAAACATCCACATGGAATACGCCTCTTCTAGCTTCTGTTGAAACTGCATTTAGTCTAATTCACATATACTAAAACCTGGGGTGCCGTACAAATGACCACGCTTTAGTTTTCGACAGAAGCGTTTCCACAACTCATCCACAAAGTCATATGATTTGCACTTTAGGACCTTTCTCTGATACTCCTTTGTGGGATTTTTTGTAGACCTTCTTGTCCTTATAGAGGAATATGGTCGGTTGACATGCTCGTTCCAGTCCAAAATAGCAATTCCTGTTTTAATTGTGTACATTGAGTTCTGAAAGTGGACACATTTATCAACATATGCCAGGATGGTGTTGTGGAAACATTCAATACCCCAGTAGACCCCAGTTTTTACGCCTGAGAGTTTATTCGATAACTCAGGGTGCCATTTTTGACCTAGGGTTTTCTTGGTACCTGATGTTATTTTCTTCATGGTACTGCCCACTTCCTTTGATGCATGCCAGGTATCATAGGAGTCTATGACACCTGCATGGTCATCTGCAACAAACTTGCTGACGGATGCATTTCTGTCATGGGCATGTCATGGGCATGGATGTTAACTTTTACATTCTTTGATTCGAGATCTTCATATATTGCCCTGGGCCCATATACTTCATGTTTCTGGGGGCATATTTCCTGTTCTTTAGTTACATGCTTGTAACTGACTACCTTGTGTGTCTTTGGACCTATGGCTATCACATCTCAGTGGTAGCTGTTTCGACAACAGCCATGTTGTGCATCAGTCATTATATTGACTTTTTTTTCACCATTAATGATAACTGGAGCAGGAGCCGGAGTAGGTCCAGGATCTGCTGACAAGGTGAAATTCGAGGCCACATCTTGTGTGCTGACAATTTCTTCCTTGAAGCTGAAAACACAAAGCTTCATTCCTTATTCAAGAATCTTTATTGAAAGTGTTCAGGTACTATGAAAACCAATATTACATTAGTAGGTATAAATTACAGGCTTTTACAATTAATAACATGCAATGACCCATACTTGTTTGTTTGTTGTTAAAGGCTGCACTCAGCCATATACCAGCTATACGACGGCAGTCTGTAAATAATCGAGTCTGGACCAGACAATCCAGTGATTGATATCATGAGCATCGATCCACACAATTGGGATACAATGACATGTATCAACCAAGCCAGCGAGTCTGACCATCCGATCCCGTTAGTCGCCTCTTACGACAAGCATGGGTTGCTAAAGACCATTTCTTACCAGGATCATCACAGGTCTAATGTCCGACACCGGCTACTCTTCATGAAAATGTGTAATTGATTGTAAAAAGTCTAGCGTGTCCAGCATAATAAATTCAACCAATGTATTATTACAAGCATAGTTTTCCAAGTATAGTTTCCTACAGCTACAAGCGTCCGCCCGGAGAGCGGAAGGTCCGGGGTTCAATCCCCGGCCGCGTCATACCAAAGGCGTTTAAAGATGGTACTTGTTGTTACCCTGTCTGGCGCTCTGCATTAAGGGGCTCAAACAAGGACTGGTCGGCTCGGAGTCAGTATACTGTGTCTGAGTGGGGTTTTCATGTTAAACTGCGGCATGGTATCTCAGTGAGCTAGCACTATAAATCGGCATCAGTCCGGACTAGTACAAGCAGCCACACAAACACACACATGTACATGCACGTCGCTATATAAGTGCAACAATCTTGGACGCGACGTTAAACCCCATTTCACCTCACCTCACCTACAGCACTATTTTGATAACATTCCTCAAATTAGTTGCACATGCCAAAATTATTAAATATATCATGCAGATTATAATTTGAAAATAAGACAAACAAGACAAACCTGACTCAACTTTTTATAGGAGGTGGACATTCACTTGACATTTTGGATGAGAAAATGGTCGGTATAGTCCCCTTCTTTAGCCTGCGGATGCCAGTCAAGAATATATGATAATCGTCTGGTCTGAAGTGTTTGCCACAAACATGTGTTGCATTAGTAATCTAAAACAAAACAAAATTGTACACAGATATGATTTTGTCAATACATTGATCAACTACATGCTCAGCATGCTCAGAGAGGGGGCATATCAACAATCATCACAGCTTGCTTACATATTGTCAGGGGGGACACGGCTGGCCCAGTTGTCTTAGGCGCCGTGATGCGCTGTGCAGAGTTGGGTCCCTTGGGCACATTAGAAACCTATAATTGTGGGTTCGAATTCTGGTTCGGCCCAATTATGTTTCTAGGTTTGTCAGCACCATACCCGTGCTCGTGGGTTTCTAAGACCTGCATCACTTGGGGCTTTCCTCCCACATTCAGCTGACACGCTGTGATATGACTGGAATACTGTTAAAAGCGATGTATAAAACAACTCACTTGCTTACTGTCAGAATTGATCAGGAAATTGCTGATACCAAGGGAGATAACTGCAAGTGGTTTCAAAATTGACCCTTCATTAACATGTATTATCACTAATGACTGGTCATATTTTAGACACTTAGTTGAACAAAGCCGGATCAGACTGGTACATTGATCATGTTGATTGAACAGATATGTTAAACAACAAATGGAATATAAAAAGTCACTTCCAGTAAACTGTTAATCTCATTCTACATTAACAAAATAATGAACATCAACTGTAGTTTGGGGAATACCATCAATTGAATTATCTGTCATAATATATATATGCAAATATCATGAATATAGAATTAATTTCCATCTTATTTTAAAAATCCTGCTTTCAGTTAGATTCTACATTAATTTAAATGTTGCTATGCACAATAAAAATAAAATCTGACATGTTGAAATGGGAAGAATTTTTATTGATTATTTATAAAAAATAATTTCCAGGACCAACACTTTTTTTCATCGATGTAGAACTATTCAGTGATTTTTCGAGCTTAAAGTCCTATTATACACCAAAGTAAAATGAATCGTGGGGAATACACTAGATTAAAAAAGGGAAACAATATGGCTTAGCGATAATGTAAGACAATATGTAGGGGCGTGGCAGTCATGTTGGAAAGGTGTTCCTGGGCGGTTTGTCTGGAGAGTTATCTCCAGCAGAGGAATATTATATGGACTATGCGGAAAGAGGATTATGCTTGTCTGTGAAATTTGGGTATTAGCAGTTCACCTACAGTCCGTTTGATTCCATCTGAGAACGATGAATTGCTCACTAACTCAAAATCTAATAATTGCAACAAAACCAAAATGTGCACAGCGACATGAATCAGAAACCTGCAACAGTGACTCCGATTGACCACCCAAAACGGCTTTTGAGATGACCCCCATATACGATGCACATGCTTGTTCATTACCTGGCTGTTTCATGAGCGACTGGTCCTCCCTGGTATGGGATGGCGAAAAATGTCAACAATATGATGATAGTTTGTTGAACAATTTTTTTATTCGGGTGTCAAAAATTATGAGACAAACCATCAGAGTTGGTCTGTCCAATTCATGTCGCTGTGCACATTTTGGTTTTGTTGCAATTATTAGATTTTGAGTTAGTGAGCAATTCATCAGTCTCAGATGGAATCAAACAGACTGTAATTAGCTATGAATAAATGTTTGGTGAGTGTCCAGGTACTACGCTATAGAACACGCAGAATACATATGCAAATGTAATGAAACATAACTCATTAGAAAAAAACCAAACCATATATGAGACTTAGAGTTAAACGTCCTGATTGTAACTGTCCCTACAGAGATTTCAACTTTATTAAAAAAGTGTGTTTAGAAATATATTTTAAAGCTTCATAAACAAATAAAATCATTGATCGAAAACTGAACAGTACATCACCTTTCACTAAATAGTTGGTGGCAAACCGTTCAGTGTGTAACTAAAAATACATTTTTTCTTATACCAGATATCAGTTCACTGTTTAAAAATTACAATCATCAAAAGTGCATCATTGGATCAGAGTAGCAAGTGCATATCGTCGTTGGTTGTTGATCACAGGTTTGATTTTTCTTACAATTTTACATGTGGCTTCGTGACCAATAGTCTATATGCTAACATACCTTGAATCTAACAATCCCTTATCACGACGGATGTTGACAGTCAACTGTTTCCGAACCTCTTCATCTTTAGGAGTATTGTGGAAGGGCAGCGTTTTATCTTTACGGCTATTGCTCTTGCAGAGCGGTACAGTACATAATACTTGCATACCGAGCCACGTTGTTTTGGTACCTTTTAGCGGGTCGCGAGAGAAGGCCTGGTAGTAAAAAGCAATAACTGCTCCCTTCTAACAGCTGATTGGTCTCTTATTTGTGACGTCATTCCCTGTATATAAAGCCTTTGCCACATCCGGAGGAATCATTTCTGTCTTGACACTCAAACTGGGTAGAAAATGTCACGTCCTACAGATCCCAATTTGACAGCAGGTATAAATCTCATTATTCTCTGAAACTATAGATGTGAGTCTCGTTGTCGACCTACTATTAATCATTGTACATTCCGCCGTCGAGTTACATAACATTTATTTCAAACGAAGGGAAGTAACTCTTGCGAACTTCGCAAAACTTCCGAAGCCGCTGGAGTGGTTACTCCGCTTTATAGCGTACTGCAGTTCGAGTTTCATAATTTCACCCGTGAAGGGCTCACTGACTTGTTTGATGCATGTCATCGTATCCCAATTGCGTGGATCGATGCTAATTATATCAATCACTGGATTGTCTGGTCCAGGCTCGATTAATGACAGCCCACGGTAAGGATAGGATTTATGGATATTATCAATATAAGATCCATAAATCCTATCCATTCTTAGTACTCCAACTTCTTAATGCCAATCAAACAAACAAAAACCTTTTCAAAAAAGGATCATAATTGACAACATCGATTGATTTATATGATGCTTAGATCCTTTTACTGTTATCGACCGCCTCCGTGGTCCTGTGGTAGAGCGTCCGCCCAGAGAGCGGAAGGTCCGGGGTTCGATCCCCAGCCGCGTCATACCAAAAGATGGTACTTGTTGTTACCCTGTCTGGCGCTCGGCATTAAGGGGCTAAAACAAGGACTGGTCGGCTCGGAGTCAGTATGCTGTGTCTGAGTGGGGTATTCATGTTAAACTGCAGCATAGTATCTCAGTGAGCTAGCACTATAAATCGGCATCAGTCCGGACTAGTACAAGCAGCCACACAAACACATACTCGTACATGCACGTCGCTATATAAGTGCAATAATCTTGGACGCGACGTTAAACCCAATTTCACCTCACCTCACCTTTTACTGTTATCAAGCAAGAGTGAAGTAAGTGTGCTGTCTTGCTTCTCCGTTGTTAGGCAACGGGATAAGTATCTATATACGTCAGATTATAATAGAATAAAGAAGTTGTCATCATTAAGAAATATGTTGTCTTTACTGCCACTTACCAACTTATAAAAATGCCAGTCAGACATTTGTACATTTATAGGCTTATCTGTATCCTATTGACTATATATAGACTAATATATCATACAATACTTGTCTCAGCTCTCAAACTGAAAAACAAAATTCCTGATGCTGTTTTCATATAGCTTGCTAGACTGCCTTGCTTAGTGGCTATTACGAGTTACGTCCCTCCTATTGATCAATCAGATTCCACCTCTTATATCACTTGCATTTGCTTCAAACAAAATGGTGGCACCCATTCAAGAGGATCCAATTGATGGTCAAGATCTATATTGTAATAAAACTGTTCTTTCTTTCCGTACTTGTTTAGAAACATGAAATATTTTGTAAATATCTGTTTGCATGATTTGCACTCGGCGTCAACAGATATTTTCTAAATCCTTTTATGTTTTTAATCAAGCTGCTCACATGATTTCATGCACTTTGCGGTGTGAGATAAGTTTTATCACAATACAGATCTTGATTATTGATCAGATCATCTTGACTGGGCGTCGCCATTTGTTTGAAGCCAATGCAATTGATACATGAGGTGGAATCTGATTGGTCAATAGAAGAGGCATAGAAGGGACACTCGTAATAACCACTAGTAGCACTACGATCGAGCCCAGACATTCCAGTCTAGTTTGGCAAGGGTGGAAACTGGACTTCGATAGTCAGGAAGATGTTAACGCCCTTGCCTCAGGAAGATGGAAAAATAAGGTTTACACTAGTCCTCTGGACTGCTCTTAAAAGGACAAATTTGTAAGGCTGCCATCCCAAACTAAGATGTGTATCTGTACTCTTCTTCTGTTGCTGCAAGTGTCTCTGGTGGAGAGTAGCACTCGTCCGGGGGGTGTCAAGCTGGTCAGTGCTCGTCATGCCAACAAGACATCCGACCCCATGGACCTTGTGGAGCTGGCTATGCAGGTGCAGAAGGTTGGTGCATCTATTCCTGACTCTGCCCACGTTAAATGTACACTCAAACCACATCCCCCCTAACATTATTAAAACTACCGTATTTTACGCAATAAGCACCCATATAAATGTAACTGTTTCTCATTTATGTTATTTGATGTTACAATTGTTACAGACAGTTATTTCTTGTCGAATAAATGTTTTTTTATCTCTAATGGCAGATTCTTGATTTCAGGCAGATGAGTTTACCCGAGCTAACGCTGGGAGCAAGTTGACGGTTATAGCTGATCAAATACGGTATCTACAAGAACAGGCGAGAAAGGTATGCTGACATATACCCTGTGATTCTGTGAAGATTATGTTCCTCATGTGTGTGTGTGGGGGGTGGGGGGGGTCGGGTAGCCTAGTGGTTTAAGCGTTCGCTCATCACGCCGAAGACCCGGGTTCGATTTCCGACATGGGTACAATGTGTGAAGTCTATTTCTTGTGTCCCCCGCCGTGATATTGCTGGAATATTGCTAAAAGCGGCGTAAAACCATACTCACTCACTCCTCATGTGGAACCTTACAAATCATCCCTTGGACATGCTTTATGATGGTGGGTTCGAATCCTGTTTTGCCCGATTATGTTTCTACTGTGCGCATGGGTTTCACCAAAGTTGTACACGTCTGACACCTGCCTCACTTTGGGCTTTCCTCCCACATTAAGCTGGCACACAAGGATATAACTGAAATATTTTTCCAATGTGGCTTTGATCTCAACTCACTCACTCGCCTTACAAAAGCCCCCTTCATACCTATTGTAATTATTTTTATTCACATATGGATAAAAAAACATAAAAACCAGGGTTTTACCTCCAAGAATTATTTTTGAAGGTCAATGCAGGTAATATCAGGGTCCTGTAAAAGACCGAAATGGTGTAGTCAGAGCTCAAGATAAGCTGCGTATCTGCGTAAAATACGCATCAGAAATGCAGAAATATGCAGTAAAATAAAATCCAAGCATATCAAATACGCAACAAACATTACAGATATCAAAATATTGTGAAGTAACCCTGCGTATTCAATTTGCAACTCAGCAACTTATTTTGAAATTATAAACAGGCATTCCGTCAACCTTGCCAAACTCCTGGATGACAGTTACATCATGATCATTTGCCATCACACTTCCTTGTGGAAGTATTGTGGTATTTTTTAGTCCTATAAAGCTCTCGAACCCACACGACACCAGTTTGCAGGGACTAGATTAATAGTGTTTTTAAATATTTAACTTAGATACCCACATGTGGAAAAACTAGTGGGTAACAGAAATTTGAATACCCAGATAGAATTACTGATACCCAATGATTTAAAAATGCATGGGTAAAATACCCACAACACCAAAAGCTTATCTGGAGCTCTGCGTAGTGTACTGTACATTTTTGAAAATTACTTTAGAGCCTGGAACGAATCAGTGATCATGTGGACAGTGGTCAAGATAGATTGATGAAAGAACAGACTCCAATAATTGCTCTTGTTGCTCTGTAGGTACAATCAAAAATATTGTGAGTCCTAAAGGACGCAGTGTATTCTTTTTGTGGGTCCATTCTCCACATTTGTGCATCACATCTTGTTTATAGGCTGTTGTCAATGATTCCATAGATTCTGATCAACAACCCACTCCAAAGACTGGACTCAAACTCATTGCACTTCACTCAATATATTTGGTGACACCAGCAATTTCACGTTTTACTTAGTCATGGAAGAATTGAGATAAACATACCGTTTTCAATATAGAGCGAGGTTTCTTTTAGATTTAAGCACACTAAATTAGACATTTGAAACCTCATGCTACGTGTTCAGTTCCAAATTCAATGTAGTAGAGGTTAGATCTTCGGGTAACCTTGCTCTTCACTGAAAACACAGTATGTTTATATCATAATTTCTTCATTTCGTTCAAAAATAGCTGTAACATGCATCATGCAAAATAATCCTGGTAAACATGTGTTTTCATCATGATCATCTAGTTTTGAAAGGTAAATTTAGAAAAACAGTAATCAAGACAATTTATCTGACTTAGTCAATGGTCATTTATAATTTCAAGTATGTTCTTTCTATAGGGCCAAAGTAATAACATTTTAGGACTTGAAACATTATCCCAGAATTAGATAAGCCACATTATGACTCAAGAATGTGTAGTAATTGGAGTTATCTCCCTTTGTCTTCTTAACTTCTTAGCGCAATTCCACTGTGTGATACCTTTGTCACCCTCCTGGTATGGCTGCCACCAGTCTGCAAGCGGCCATTACAAGAGACATGCAAAACTTTCCCAGATACCCCAAATGTAGTGATATTTGTATTTTTGGGTATGTCTTTAGGAGTGAATTGGGAAAAGGTGTATGACAGATTTAATATTTCCCCGATGAAATTGCATTTGTTTGTTTGGTTAAATCATATTGGTTTGAGATTGCAGACTATGGAAAAACAAGCAACTTCCCCCTTGCATTCTCGCTAAACTAATAACGTGATAGTTGATACGAAATAGAAAGAAACAAAACAATTTAGCCGGGCCAAGAGCATCGGGGTCACGATAGTCATCACTTGTAAACAACGGTCATTTGGTTGCGGGTTCAGCAGAATGCACTGTTAGGAGCTTGTGTTAACTTGCTCCAATCCTCCAAGCCTACGAGACATGATGCAGTGAAGAGAGAACATTATGACCCTCCCCTAATGCTAGTCATATTTTTGGATGACCCACTCCATGTCCTTGTACATTTGGGGGCACGGACGGCCCAGTCGTCTAAGGCACCGCAATTTGCTGTGTAGAGTTGATTCCCTTGGGCACGCCAGAAACCTATGATTGTGGCTTCGAATCCCGGTTTGCCCCGATTATGTTTCTAGGTTTGTCAGCACCATACCCGTGCTCGTGGGTTTCACCGAAGTGGTAAACGTCTGAGACCTGCATCACTTCGGGCTTTCCTCCATTAAGCTCATGGCCGCGATATAACTGGAATACTGTTAAAAGCGGCGTTAAACCCAACTCACTCACTCACTCACCTTGTACATTGTTTTCATGAACGTCGCCGAAAAGAAAAAACACAAAACCAGTCTATATTTTATTAGATAAACACCATGGTCAAACGATCACATCCAAAAGTGGACCCCTCATGGTTAATTCTACTTGCAGTGTTTTATTGAATGATAAATAACCCCCACTCATGGTGTATGTCTGAAATATTATGTCCATTTTAACATTTTAACATAACGCTCCCTAAATATGTGTATGATTTTTATGACCCTCCCTCAGAGACTCACCCTCAGTAATAAATGGCCGGTCCCTTAGTGAATCAAGGCAAACAAACCATGGTACATAGTATCACAGTATTAGTTCATCACATTTTGTGCTGTGTTGATCAGTGTTGAGATGCCATGTTTTCAGGTGTTGGAAGAGGCCAAGAGGAATGCCCTCCTTCATCACGTAGCCTGTAACTTTGTGAAGAAGCCAGGCAACACATATTACCTGTTCGAGAGAGACTCGGGGCAGAAGTACTTCTCCATATTGTCACCGCAGGTAGGAATCTGTTGTAACCATGGCAACACATATTGCTGTATGAGAGAGTCTGGGCAGTACTTCTCCATACTGTCACATACCTTATGATAACCATAGCAACATAAGTTTTGTTATTGATATCACAGATGGCTCCTGCATATATTTAAGCAAGGGTAACCTGACACCCAGGATAATAGTGGACTGAGATGCTTGTAAATTACTGTTTTTTATTGTTCAGAGAAAAACATTACTCCCAGAGCAATTTGGCTCATCATGTTCGCAGAAAATTAATTTTACTTTTTAAGTTATCTCGGTTTTGAACAACTATTCACATAAATATCATTGTGTGCTTATGTCTGAAAAAGATGTATGGTTTTGGTTTGTTTGGTGTTTTACGCCGCACTATTCCAGCTATATGACAGCGGTCTGTAATCCAGACATCCAGTGATTAATATCATGAGCATCGATCCACGCATTTGGGATACCATGACATGCATCAACCAAGTCAGCGAGCCTGACCACCCGATCCCGTTAGTCGCTCTTACGACAAGCATAGTTGCCTTTTAGGGCAAGCATGGGTTGCTGAAGGCCTATTCTACCCCCGATCTTCAGGAGGAAAATGTATGGTTTACGTGACCTACCATCTACCTGACTAGAACATTTGTGCTTTTCCATCCAAAGTCAAGTTATGTTAATTCACTAGAAAACCTTATCTCCCTTGCTCAGTCTGTTAATGTCATGGTTCGATACTCATCATTGCCGAAGGGTTACGTGGGTATGGAGGGACCCGTGAAGACCCGGGGTAGTTTTGATCTTCAGCAACCCATGATTGCCGTAAGAGGCGACTAACGAGTTTGGGTGGTCAGGCTCACTAGTGGATGATGTCATCAATTTCAATTGTGTGGATTGATGCTCATAATGTCAATCACTGGATTGTCTGGTTGAGACTCCATTATTTACAGACCATTGCAATATAGCTGGAATATTGCTGAGTGCGGCGTTAAACAAAAAACAATCATCATACAAACAAAATGTTCGGTGGGTGTAAAACATGAATAATGTCAACAAGCTTCAGTAGGTCTGAGTATGTTGACAATGTGATTAACAGTTAAAGAACATGTATACTTGGGATAACACTTTCTTAGCAAAGTATTGTTTCTAGTACTTGTTAAGGTTGAGTCCCATCCGGGGAAGTGCAAGATTAGAGGTGAAAGGTTGCCTGAATGCTACCAGTGGTTTAGCCCATGCACGTGCAATACATGACAAGTGACAGTCAATATGGGGAATAATATGGTTCATTCCAGATTCAACTGAACTGCAAACCTGGAAATTGAAAATGGGAAGTTTATTATCCAACCAGTATCCAACCGTATACATTTTCTGTTTTCAAGTAAATGGGTGGAGGGGTGACCCTTTTATAATGATGCTGAGTATATGTTTTCTATTTCAAGGAATGGGGTTGGAGAGGGGGTGACCCTTTAATAATGATTCTGAGTATACATTTTTTATTTCAAGGAATTGGGGAGGGGGTGACCCTTTAATAATGACGCTGAGTATATGTTTTCTATTTTCAGGGAATGGGGGTGGGGGAGTGACCCTTTAATAATGAGGCTGAGTATACGTTTTAGATTTCAAGGAATGGGGGGGGGGTTGACCCTTTAATAATGATGCTGAGTATACATTTTCGATTTCAAGGAATGGGGGGAGGGGGTGACCCTTAAATAATGATGCTGAGTATACGTTTTTGATTTCAAGGAATGGGGAGCATCATGTCCACATGAGTTCCTGGGAGGATTCCGTCTGGAGTATGACCAGTCCTGGACACCGCTAGATGATGTTGAGCGGCGGGGAGAAGAGATTGCGTTGATAGACAAAATATTGAATGCACAACAGGCCATTACTGACAGTGCCACGCCAAACTTCAGCGGCTTGACAACTCAACCAAAGCCCAGCACAGAGGCCAAGATAACTGACATGTCGTAGAAGGAGGACTAGGCCATCACAACAAGCAGCTACAGATGCCTCACATCAGCCATGTAACCAGATTATTTCCGTGACTCTGTGATATAGGATGGTTCAACTGAACATTTTATAGAGCATATTGAAGCAGAGGATTTAAACATGTTAAACGAAGAAGAAGAAATGGTTTAATTGAAACAATAGTGAATGAATCTTCATATTGATGTGTCCAAACTGTTTGAGTTTCTAACCCTCAAATTGTCTCTACAGTAGATGTTTGTATTTATTTTGTGGATTATAAGTTGAACTCGCCCGATGGAAGGATATTCTACAAGACTTGGTCTGCTTAGAAGTGGCTTTTGATGCTTACTGCTATGTTTGTTTATTTCGTGATGCTTCACATGGAACTAAATATGCAGGCGGCCAGCTTCACATAGAAGTGAATATGCAGGTGGTCAGCTTCACATAGAACTTAATATGCAGGTGGTCAGCGTCACATGGAAGTGAATATGCAGGTGGTCAGCTTCACATAGAACTTAATATGCAGGTTGTCAGCTTCACATAGAACTTAATATGCAGGTGGTCAGCTTCACATGGAAGTGAATATGCAGGTGGTCAGCTTCACATAGAACTTAATATGCAGGTGGTCAGCGTCACATGGAAGTGAATATGCAGGTGGTCAGCTTCACATAGAACTAAATATGCAGGTTGTCAGCTTCACATAGAACTTAATATGCAGGTGGTCAGCGTCACATGGAAGTGAATATGCAGGTGGTCAGCTTCACATAGAACTAAATATGCAGGTTGTCAGCTTCACATAGAACTTAATATGCAGGTTGTCAGCTTCACATAGAACTAAATATGCAGGTGGTCAGCTTCACATGGAAGTGAATATGCAGGTGGTCAGCTTCACATAGAACTTAATATGCAGGTGGTCAGCTTCACATAGAACTAAATATGCAGGTGGTCAGCTTCACATGGAAGTGAATATGCAGGTGGTCAGCTTCACATAGAACTTAATATGCAGGTGGTCAGCTTCACATAGAAGTGAATATGCAGGTGGTCAGCTTCACATAGAAGTGAATATGCAGGCGGCCAGCTTCACATAGAAGTGAATATGCAGGTGGTTACTGAAGCCTGTTCAGGTTCAAGTGACATATGTTGCAGGAATATGGGGTCATTTTGGGGGGTGGGCAATGGGACTAAAGTACTTGAGTAAGTTAACAGTTTGACACATTCAACAAAGAAAACTTCAGTTCCCATCAAGTATGGAACATTGTTGTATTTACTGTTGGTAATGTTTAGATGTTGACATGTTTTGCAGGAGAAAACAGCTGGTGTATTTTGAGGTCTCTCCTGCTGTGGCCTGGGTGATTTGTGTGTCTCAGGAACATCTGTTGATTTGTATATAAGAATCTGTATATTTCTCATTGGTACACGGTGGCGAAGTCACCGTTATTATCACCTCCGACGTAAGAAATGGGGAACATTACGTATAAAATTCTTTACCCAATACACAGAAAAACCCAACCAGTCTTCTGGTAACGTTTCTCAATCATGCTTCTGTCCTGCTGTGAGCTAAAAGTTTGTTTTTCATTCATTTGTAGCCTTACTAATCTAAAATAAAAAATTAATGATATTTTATTTTGACCACCTACATTGAATTTTAGGCCAAATTTTAAATAAACCAACTTATTACAAATTTTAGACCCAGAATAGAAAATATTATCTGTTAGGAATTATTATACGGGTGTATCAGGCAATGGCAATGTGATTTTGTTGAGGGATTTCATCATGCCTATAGCATTGTTTGCTGTTTTTATGCTGTACCCCCGGAATGGAACTCGTGTAGGTATTAACACTTTCAGTATCATTTATTTTAAAGATGTTGATATAGAATGCAAACGGCCGGGCCCCCTTGAATTGAGTATGCTGGTTTGCATTTATTTTGTTCCAGAGTCTTGATATACAGATACATGATCTACAGGAATTGTGTCGGATAATATCACATTTCATTTTCATATGAATATATTCATAGTGGTTATAGCCATGCGTATAATATCCAGACAATGTCAAGTTCTTGTGAATATGTCATGGATCTAGATTTGTTGACATTCTTAAACTTATTATGTTATGTATATACGAGTAAATAAACCGTTTATTTTATTTTAGTGGAGTCATGATGATGTTGTTAATTATCTGTTCCATTAAAGGGGCGCTGATCTAAAGCAATTCCCCGGGACTGGTTGTTGCCTTTGTTATTGTATTTTTTCCCATGAGTACCCGGATGATATAGTAGAAATCTAGACTAGTTCGCAACCTGTGCTGCGCCATTTGTAAGCGCATTTGTCACTTTTGGTGACAGTATAAGAGTGTATGGTCACATTGATCAACAAAAGGAAATACAGTTTGGGAAATAATAAGGATATGTAGGTGGGTATCTTTGTGGGTAGCATCGGTAATGGTGACGACGAAGTTTTGATAAGTCCCTTGCTTGGTAAATGTACGATTTTCGTTTACAGTATTTTGACTAGCAACAAAAAGTAAATATTTCATCTGAGCATTGATTATTTTATCTTTTGTAACTTTTATCAGTGTCTACAATTATCCAGCACATTACATCTCCATTATATGATGATAAAAATAGCCTTGAGGTTAAAGCGTTTGCTCGTCATGCCGAAGGCCGTGTTCGATTCCACACATGGGTACGATGTGTGAAGCCCATTTCTAGCGTCCTCCGGAGTGGAATAGTGCTAAAAGCGGCGTAAAAACATACTAACTCACCCACTCGTGTACGTATTGAGCCGGATTCGAATGGACTCCCTCTTGTCACTTTGCACTCTAGTTTACACGAGATTGCTGCACTCAACACTTAAACACTGTCCGTCCTGATTTAGCTCCAATATTGACGACAGTCGCGCATAACAATGAACTCGCTCACTTCAACTGTAAATATATGTATTACGTAACTGCCTTAAACAATTCAAATATACTCCACAACAAAAGTTCCTGTGACACCAATAGTTTAGTGTATTTACAAACAAGTGAAGTTTGGTTTTCAATATTGTAGTACATGTATGGAATCAAGTCACCAAAACGCAACTGCTACAGAAAAGCATGCATTCCATGCAAAAGTTGACTTTTATGCAAGCCCCATGCATTTCACTACCCAAGAATTGGTATAAAAAAATGTGCGTTAACGGGATTCCATATGTATTGTTTAGCATCGTGCTGACAACAACGACTCAGAAAAACAACAAAATTACGCAATTATTCAACATTACGAAATGCCACGCCTGTCCGAAAATGAGTGCCTGCGAGCCATTGGTATGCTTGAAGCAGCAGCGACTCAACGTGATGTTGCAAGACAATTTAACGTCCACGGAAACACCATTATGGCAACGTTGGCAACAGACGAATGCAGTCAGAGACCATCATCGGAGTGGCAGGCCACGCGTAACCATAAATCGACCAGACAACTGGATTCGAACAACACACCTACGAAATCGATTCCAGCCGGCAACAGTGACTGCAAGAAGCATCCCAGGCCTTCGACGAATATCGTACGTCGCCGCCTCAGATTTGCAGGGATTGTCGCCAGAAGACCCACCAGACGTCCCATTTTGACAGGAAACCACCGTCAAGCACGTCTACAGTGGTGCAGAAAGCGTCTACGCTGGACGTCCATGCAGTGGGGACACATTCTATTCACTGACGAGTCTCGTTTTCACCTCAGCCACAGCGATGGACGGATTCGAGTGTACCGACGTCGAGGTGAACGTTACGTCAATCATTGTGTCATGGAAGAAGATCGGTTCGGGGGCGGCAGCGTTATGATATGGGGTGAGATTACAGCAAGACAGAGGACCCGTTTTATAGTGGTAGAGGGAAATCTCAATGGACAGCGCTACCGCGACGAGATCATCGGCCCTGTTGTTCTACCGTTTTTTCGTCGTCATGGCCCAGGCATTACCTTTCAACATGACAACGCCCGGCCTCATTGCTCGACTTGGTCAGGATTCTCTTCAACAAAACAACGTGAATGTCATCCCCTGGCCGGCTCGCTCACCTGATCTCTCACCAATCGAGCACATGTGGGATGAGATGGATCGGCGCCTTCGACGTCAACCACGTGTTCCACAGAACTTCGAAACATGGCATGTTCATGTTTGTTTTTTATGAAATCACGCATTCTCTGAAGTCAGTATGGCAAATTAAACCATTTGAACACTTACATCAGTCTTTTATCTGTTGCAAACCGAAATTGTTTCAGATTTGGTAAAAAACATAACTTTGCATTAAATCTTATTCAATGTCACAGGAACTTTTGTTGTTCAGTATACGAATAAAATGTCCAAATGTGTCGGTGTCAAATCAAGTTTGTTTGTTTGTTGTTTAACGCCGCACTCAGCAATATTCCAACTATATGACGGCGGTCTGTAAAATAATCGAGTCTGAACCAGACAATTCAGTGATTGACATCATGAGCATCTATCCACGCAATTGGGATCGATGACATGTATCAACCAAGTCAGCGAGGCTGACCACCCGATCCCGTTCGTCACCTTTTACGACAAGCATAGTCGCCTTTTACGGCAAGCATGGGTTGCTGAAGACCTATTCTACCCCGGAATCTTCACGGGTCGACAAATCATGATAATGTTGATACAATGTAATTACTTGTGTGGGGCACCGTGTACATCAAAGTGATAATTATCGCGAGATACAATTTGTAGCATCATTTTGACAGAGCGTATTCTACTATATTTTGACATGACGTGTAATATACAATTGAATTATTCGTCACGGACGATGTTACTACCGCCACAGCTAGGTAGGCACTGGGACTTGTGTTGCCATGTACAGTAAACTACGGTTATGACGAACTCAAAGGAACCACTAAGTTTTGTTCGTTATATCCGTCGTTCGCAAACGCATTTCAACCGTCAGACATCTTTTTTCAAGTTTTGTGACATCATGTTACTCGATAAATAACAAGGTGAGTTCGCTATATCCGTTATTTCGTTATGAGCCAGTTTGTTATATCCATCAACTTTATATGATAAAATATATGGCATATGGCCGGGACCAAAAGTTCGTTATATCCGTAAGCTCGTTATAAACGTGTTACTTAAAAATTGTTTAATAAGTGTTAAGTTTAGGCTAGATCCAAGAAATGTCGTCTAAGGGCATAGTTAATCCTATACCGCAGTCTAACACAGTAGACCCCAGAGATCCCCTGTCATATTGGGGGAGTAGTTTAGTATAGGTGCTGAATAAATTCTTCTTTTATGTCCGAAATAATAGATTAACATATTGGACAGACAAATTCTGTTTTATTGCTGAAGAACAAAATGGCTTTAGTATAAATGGTTGGAGCACAATAGACCATTTATCGCTGACGTCAATCGAAGAAACTAGGTTGAAGAAAAAAATCCCATCTCCACCTTCATCGATTTTCGGTAAGTGAGTGAGTGATTTTGGTTTTACGCCGCTTTTAGCAATATTCCGGCAATATCACGACGGGGGACACCAGAAATGGTCTTCACACATTGTACCCATGTCGGGAATCGAACCCAGGTCTTCGGCGTTACGAGCGAACGCTTTAACCACTAGGCTACCCGACCGCCCCGATTTTCGGTAAGCGTACGATTCAGTAGTTATATGTATTTATGGCACAGATTACTTACCATGGGGTTAGAGGAAAGTGTGGGAAGCTCTACACTCTATGACAATGTTTCAAGTTATGTAAGAGTTAATGGTTTTACGACAGACTGGTGTCAAGTGTGGTGTAAGACAAGGATTCCCTTTGTCGCCCCTCTTATTCAATCTGTAAGTTCAACAACTTAGCCTTTTCTCTTAAGGCTTTAGAAATGAGATGAAGAAAGAACGGAGTGTTCATATGCGCTTTAATATATACTGAAGATGTAGTTCTTTTGGCGGAAACGGAGTCGTACCTCCAAATCTTGCTTGATTACCTTGGTAGCTGGTGTTCAGATACTCGGGCCATACCTTGATCGTGTCAAGTATACACTTGTGGCAATATTATGTACGTATAGAGCGATATACGTATCTTGGCTTTCTGTTACAAGGGCATTTAGACTACAGTATCACAGCAAGGGTTGTGGCTCGGTCGGCAAGTCGAGCGCAGGGTCTCCTAATTGCTAAGAGTAAGGAAATGGGTAGTATGCCCTACAATGTTTTTACAAAGTTATATAGAAGAAGAAGAAGAAAATATTTCATTTATGTGTCACATGTTGTATGTGTACACATTAGACATAAAACACTTGCATAAAATATCAGGCCACAAAAAGGCCTACATGTATGAGACACAATGAACAATGAAAAACATTATTTATATGATAGAATTATAACTTACAGGATTGCGAAACCCAATAAAAAGGATTACATTTTTAAATAATGAAATGTTTCCTTCGTGCAAACAGTTTTTAAATAAGTGCGGCAAGAGGTTTTATAAGAAAATTCATTTAGAACACTGTCTGCTCCACAGGAGAGAATGATATAAATGTAGGATCAGACTTTATAATTCTCAGCCATAAGTCATATCTTAAGTCAGAATAAAATGGACAATTACTGAGAAAATGTGTATCATCTTCTACAGCGTTAATATTACATAATTTACAATTCTATCCTGTAAAGGTGTGATAGATTCAGCAAATCTACCAATTTCAACTTGTAAGGGTAATGTGCCGCAGCGTAACTTGCTCAGGATACTACGATGAGACCTGTTCATAATACATGTAACATAGGGTTCAGCAGACAGCGAGTGTTTGAACAATCTGTAAGTACGAAGCATATTTCCATTTTGGAAACCTCTATCATTCCACAATTCTGAATACCAATTGTGCTCATCTGACGCTAATAACTTATATTTTAAACGGGTAAAATCGGATTGGGTTTAATACATACAGTTAGATCTAAACTATTAAGCAAAGCCAAAACATTGTTTACCCAGGATTTACGGAATTTTGTAGACCATTGACTAACCCAACAGAGAAGCCTATTGGGATCGACCGTTTGAATTCGCCTAAAAAAACTACAGTATCACAACAAGGGCTGTGGCTCAGTCGGCAAGTAGAGCGCAGTGTCTCCTAATTGCTGAGAGTAAGGCAATGGGTAGTAAGTATGCCAATGTTTTTGCAAAGTTATATTATGCGCTGGTTAAGCCAGTTTTAACACATGGAGCTTCTATTTTGGGTACCAAGGAATGCTGTTATTAGTAAGGTT